CTGTTTTTTGTAATACATGCATACCTATTATAAAGTTTAATTTACAAATTAGGTACAGCAAGAGATTAACAACTAATAAAAAATAGAACAATTATAACAAGTGTTGTAATAAAAGTTACTGTAGATCCTAGCAACCTCAGCATATGATTTTTTTCCCTTCCTTATTAAGTTGAGAACTTTCACCTTTTCAATTAAAGGAAGCACTTTACAGCTTCTCTTTGGCATATCAGTATTGCCGGCACCATGACTCTTGTGCTTTGGGGCCATTATTAAGTAAAATAAGGGTTGAACACAAACACTGCAATACCACGACAGTTGATCTGATAAACCAGATGGTTGTTAAGTGACTAGTGGGAGGGTAGTGTATACACCTTGGATACATGGGACAAAGTGATGATTCACGTCCCAGGCAGGACAGTGTGAGACTTCACACCACTCAGAATGGCATGCAATTTAAAACTTATGAATTGTGTATTTCTGGAGTTTTCCATTTAATGTTTCCAGACGATGGTTGACTGAGGGTAACTGAAACTGAATGGCGAAACCGCGGATAAGGGGCAGGAGGTAGGGGGCGGTGGGGCGGGTACTACTGTACCTCAACATCATTTGTAGGGCTTTTACAAACAGAGTGCTGGGCCCCACCCCCAGAGTTTCTGAATCAGTAGGTCTGGGGTGGGACCTGAGAATTTGCTTTTCTAACAGGTTTCCAGGTGATGCTGATACTGCCAGTCCATACTTTGAGAACCACTGCTCTACATCATTAGTTTGCATCCTTGGTTATAAATTAAAATCATCTGGGGGCAACTTTTGACGATCCTAACACTTGTATTGCAATCCAGACAAACTAAACCAAGATCGCTGGGGGTGAGACTCAGCTATTAGCAATTTTTAAAATTCTCCAGATGGTTCTCTTGTTTAGTGAAGGCTAAGAACTACTAGGTATAGTGGGAAAGTTACCATCTTGTAGCTGAGGTGTACAAAATGATTATCTCAAGCTCATATTACCCTAGATGGCTTATAATGGTTTTAACAGCATAACTGAGCGAAATAATGCACAGACAAAGTGTCCTATGGCTATGGAAGATATAAGCCTGTGGAAAATTTCAGCTTTATCACCTCATTTGAAGATTATTTTCCCTGTATTCACTGTGTTTGTGTGCATGTGTATGTGTGCACAAGTGCACACGCATGTGTGTGTTTGGCATTTGGACTCCAAATAGGAGAAGGTTGGCCGCTAATTCTTCCATGCAGGGCTTCTGTGCAGAAGGATAAACCAGAGGAGCTAGCGACATCACTGAGCCACAGAACCTTCTTTCAATTGGACTTCCAAAAGAATGTAATTTTTCTAATGAAATCATAACATAGTTCAGAAACCCAAGAAGGATATGTGACATTTTTTTCTCCTTTCTCACTCAACAGCTTTCTCTACCTCATGCCTCATCACAATCTTCCAGTTGGCAAGAAGTGAGAGAGGAAAAAGTAAGAAGATTCCAAAATGCTCTAAGTTTGCCAAGCCGTGATATGTACCATGGCTTGCTGTTTTAATCTTGGAGAAAGGATCCAATCCAGGGACCTGAAAGACGAAGTAAAATCTATAACTTGGATTTTAGTTGCATTCAAGAATAATTTGCTGTAGTTAGAACATCCCTACATTCACTTGAGATTTCTGTACAAGTGAAACAAAATCGTGAGGTTCTTTAACTCTAAATAGAAAGATCTCAATTCCCTACAAATAGTCTCTCAATCTTTGCCTTAAATATCTGGAGGGAAATATTCTACCTGCCCAAACTGTTTTTCCTGGTTTGAGGTCTTTTAATTATTAAAAATTTCCTTTTTAAAAAAACATGGAACTAAAATATACTTCCTTATATCTTCTGCCCATTGTCTTACACCAATCATCTGGGATCACTGAAAACAGGGCTAATCTTTTTTGTTGTTAGAAATATTTATTAAATGCCTACCATACTAGGCATTGAATGGATACAAAGATGATACAGTCTCTTGAATTAGGAGTAGAAAGACAAAACTATAAATTTCATAACAGAGAGATAGACATACAAACATAGGAGTGAGCAGAACTAGCAGAAAACTGAGAACTACTTCAGAATAGACAGAACTGAAGATGTATCTCGGAGAACGGGTAAAACTTTTAGCAGAGTAGAGATAGAAAGATACACCTGACACTCCTGGGAAAGAGAGCAGTGTAAATAAAGGCAAAGAGTGATAAAAGACTTAATCTGTCCAGAAGACATAACAAATATAAACATATATGCACCTAAAAACAGCCTCAAGACATATGAAGGAAAAACTGTCAAATGGGAGAAATAGACAACTCCATAATAATAGTTTGAGAGTTCAAAATCCCACTTTCAGTAATGGATAGAATAACTAGACAGAAGATCAACAAGAGAATAGAAGACCTGAACATTATAAACCAACTAAACCTAACTGACATATATATAGAACATTCCATGCAACAATAGTAGAATACATGTTCTTCCCAAGTGTACATGGAACATCCTCCAGGATAGACTACATATTTATGATTTCATTGATATGAAATGCTCAGAATAGGCAAATTCACAGAGACAGAAAATAGATTAGTGACTGCAAGAATCCAGAGAAAGGGAGCAAAGGGAAGTGACTTCTAATGGGCCTGGGGTTTCTTTATAGGGTAATGAAAATGTTCTGGAATTAGATAGCAGTGATAGTTGCACAATCTTTAAAATAGACTAAAAACCAATGAACTGTACGCTTTAAAGTTTCCTTGTAGGCAAGGATCACATGTCTAGCGAAGGAACAGAATATATAATTACAGTATGCACATATACATATTATACATATTTTGCCCTCACCCATATCATTTACAGAAATAGAGCTCCAAAAACTTAGCCTCTGAGCATGAAATTAGGAAAAAATGAATATACAGAATGAGGTCAGGCGTTTGTAATAGTAACTTAGCCTTTCATTCATTTCCTCTACAAATATGTACTGAGGACTTATCGTGTGGCAGGCCTTCTGCAAGGTGCTGAAAATTCAGAGGTGCACAGGACAGACAGTAGTTGGCCAGACTCTAGTGAGTCTACGTCAGGATCAACTACATTTCAATCTCAGAGATGAAGTATAGCAGGAGACCATAGTGATCTTTGCATTTAGAAAGCTATAGCATCATCATTTGAAGATACCCACTTTGAAGAAACAATATGTGAATGACAGTCAGCATGACAACAACAAAAGAGGGGCATCTCAAAGGGTAGGAATCTGTTAGCGTGTCTCAGCATTACGCATAGACAGCAACATCCACCATTCTGCAAACATAAACCTATAGCAGAAATGGATAGGGCATGCTCTTAGCTTTCTGACAACAGCCATGGCAATGTTCCTACCAAATGCCGTGGCTCTGATTCCACATCTAATAAGCAATGTACCTTGTAATTTGTCTTCCCTACAGGTAGGAAAGGATGAATTCATCAGTGCATTTGGGTGTTCTGGTCTGCTTTATGTTCATAGTTCTCATTGTAAGGGTCTAAACTGGTATTTGAGTTTATACATTCATTTCTTCTGTTTTGGGAGTGTGAACTATTTCTGAAGGCCTGATAAAATTTACATTAAATCATGGAAAATGATGATCAGGCCCAAGATATTGCTCCTCTGTGATGCTTATGGAAAAAATATTAGAGTAAAAATTGAAATATAACTACTGAAGTGTTACATATCATTCAATAATACATAGTGAGTGCCTTCTCTATGCATGATACCCTGCTGGGAGGTATGTGAGATACAAGATATACAAGATAAAATAACCTCAAGTGGGTTCTCCTGGATAAAGATATTTCTTGATAACTTTCATCCAAGGTACTTAAAGCATTTCACAGACATTAATTAAGCTCTGTGAATATGAGATTACACTCAGAATTTTAAATGAAAAAGAGTGAGGATATGAATTTACTGGATATTTAATGGAATGTTTCCCATCAAATGGAAAGACTTTTAATTTTGATATTGAGCACATGAACAAATTACGAGGACCATTAAAAGGAATGGTTCTACTAAGATGAAATAAATATGTTGTTGTCTTAGTTTTCTGGAAGTCTATATCTGATTTCAATTTTTGTTGAATGCCGTCTGGGAAAAAGTAGCTAAACACAATTGAAAAGTAAAATATTTGTCACATTTTCTTATTATTTATTTGTCATTATTATCTTCTTACTGATTTTAAAGTTTCACAAGCACACAGATCTGTTATTTCTCAACTATTTGCATGTCTCCATGCACATGAGTGGTGGCCCGTATAATCGCTACACACCTTGATTCTTTTCCCTATGAAAGACCTATGAGAACATTCAGCCTGCTCCAGGTCAGTCCACTCAGCAGAAAAGCAGCTTAAAATCGTGAAAATATTAAAGTAAAGAATATCTAATGAAATGAGTTTTACGTTTTTAAGAAACATTGCACTTCAAATGAGGAATATGAGTATTTAATAGAAGTCTTCAAAGGCTGTTTATATTACCAGGTAAGAATGGTTTATAATTAGACACTGCTGATAATTATTCTTTATATTTGTTTAGTGCTTTATAGTTCATAAAGCCTTTGTAATGCATCTCCAAGATGCTTTCAAATTCTCTTATTCTATGGATCTGTGACTTAATATCATATAGCTAGTAACTGGTGGGACACAGGACCCAATTTATTTCCTTTAAAGCCTCATTACAAACTATAAACACTTTGTTTGCTTACTTGCTTATCTTTCTCTCCTACCAGGTTAAAGGTTCCAAGTACTTTAAAGTTCTGGAATTATTTGCTGAGAAGATCATGCTTCTTATATATTTAAAATCAGCCAAACTCTTGTCCAAATACTATATTGAAACAAAAACATGAGTCAACAAACTTTTGCTGTATATAAATTAATCTATCCCTTCTTTCCCCAGAGTTCTATTTGACATTTCCAAGTACTTGATACATAAAGAAATTTTATAATGATATTCTCTATTCTTACTTACCACATTGTGGTAAAAAGTGAATGGCATGTTCCAACTAATTCAGCCGGTATTGCTTTATTTCCTCCAGCTAAGAGGAGTAAATAGAAATGGTTACCATGGAAAGTCACAAATACCACTGACTGCTATTTCCTTATTTGCCACTATAGCACGTATTCGAATAAACAGTAGGGCTTCCTTCTAAAAGTTGAGTTTCAGGCATGTGCAGGACATTAGGTCCACAGTGCCTGCAGCTCGTCAGGTTGCCCAGCTATAGCAGAAGTAGGGATGAGAAGAATATTTGGCACTTACTGAACATTTACCCACTGCCAGATATCGCACCAAAAATTTACATACACTATCTCATTTCATCTTCACACCAAACCTATGAGTTAGGTCTTATTATTATTGCACCTTTACAGAGGAAGAAAGTGATCCTTAGAGACATTAAGTAATTTTCTCAAGTTCACTCAACTAGTAGGTGGCAGAAGTGAGGTTCTAATCCAGGTCTTCTTTATTTTTTTAAATGTCGTAATGATTATGCAGTATTTTTGTGCTGGGGATAGACAGGTAAACGAGTACTTGCTTAAAGTAAAGTTCAGCTTTTCTTATAACGCATGTATTTTTATTTCCTAACTGAGAATTGGCATGTTCTCTTCTATCTCTGGAGGAGTGATTCTTCTGGTTCGCTGCTCATGGTGGTGCTCTTAACTCCTGATACTGACATGCATCTCTGAATGAGAGCATCCATCCTCTGAAAGATATGAGTCTCCTTCTATGGTGTCCAGGGCTGGGGAAGAAGAGATGAAGGATGCATGTGTTGTAACCCAAGTCTTCCTGATCCTAATGCTTGAGTGTTCAACTACCATGGTGGCCGTGTTTTCCTGGCCTTCCTTTGCCAATGGACCTTGGAGAATCACCTGCCTCTGGTCTTTTGGCCAAATTTAACTTGCCATGCTCACCCAATCTCAGGAGACCCTGGTGTGAGGCAATGGAAGGTGTAAGCCAGAAGTCTTGTATTGCATTTTACCTTTCTGTTATCACTTTGGGCATCAGACCAGGGGATCATTTTAACAACAAGACATCTTATAGGTTACATTGAAATGAACTGTGTACCCTCTGCACTTAGCTAAGGGTCTGGGACACAGTAGATACTTAGTAGATATTTGTTGAACTAAAAAACTGGTACCTAATCCCATTCAGTGAAGACCAACATAGAACCAAGTAGTCCTGCACTAAGATGGCAGCAAACTCACTTATATGTGACCATCTAAACACGTTCAGGAAATCAATTTTCTGACCTTGGTATAAGTCTACCAAGACTAATAGGAGGACATATCATTTGAGGAAGTCCAAACTATACCTAAATAAAAATCTATAAGGTAAGTTACAATTTTCTAAATATTCCTTGTCCTTAACAACAGGTTTCTCCTCTCCTCCTTTTTTCCCCTGCAGAATGAGCCACGTAATTGCTTCAATTTGCCGCTTTCCTCTGACAGATCTAGTTACATGTATATATGTAATACGTACACACTTACATAAACATGAGTTGAAGTCAATTTAGATAACAACTGACAAGAAATTAAATATTTAAAGATGTTGTTGATTATGTAGTTATCACAAATGTCTAGTTAGCATCCCATGTTGGAAAAAAACCCCACTATGATTATCTCATCTTGGCAGTCTCCTACATCTCCCCCCAAACTACAACTGCTACATATTTACTTAGAACCTGAATTCACAGTTGTTTATTTCCTGCTTTCACATGCAAAGCTGGGGAAAACAGACTTTGGTGAATTTCAAATTTCAGAGTTAATAGCATACTTCTGGTACGGTAGGTAGGTATTTATTTAACTTTAATATATGAAGGTGGGCATCTGTTTTTCTTTTGGCTGATGACACAGTTCATCTTCTCCTGAACAATAGAGACATTTCAAGATGCGTGAAAGCCCACTTTCTGCTTCATTTCCTGTAAATATCTTTACACTTACTTCAAAGTTGACCTTTCACTTAGATCGAAATCCATGTCACTAAAAACTTGCAGAGGAGAGAACTGAATCGATAGGATGAACATTAAAATAATTGTATCTTGCTTTATTTACTGTACCCTGAACACCTTTGAGGGTTTATAATTTCTGGGGATACCCTGAGCAGCTTGAGTGAAGTATCTGCCAAAAATCACATCTGACTAGTGCCCTGTTATTTTTTTCCACTGCTGTTTTTAAAAAGTGCCATCAGGGAAGCTTAACTACAACAATTCTCTTTCAGTGTCGTCAGTTTTCCATGAGTTCAGGCAGGCCACAGTACAGAGCTCAAACACACAGAAAACTGTAAGTGGAAACCGGGTTAAAAGGAAAGGAAATGTTGTGTATACTTAATATCATAGAAATCAAGTATAAAGGACAGAATGCTGAACTGTAGTGTGAAATCAAGTTAACTGTAGTTGCTGGAAACAGAATTCAAATTACCTTGCACTTGGTTACTGGAGAGGAATCAGGAGGCTTTAAAAATAGACACCACTGTTTTTGGCCTTTGTTTAAAATAGTAATTCCCAAGACTAAATTTCTCTTACTGTCTTTAATATGCCTGGATGGAAAGAAACAAATCAGACCGGTTTAAGAAAATCTTTAGGGAAAACCTAATTCCTTTGTTTTCTCAGCAAAGACTTTGGATAAGAGTCTAAGTTTACTTTAGCCTGTGCGTTTTGAGAACTGGACGACATATTTAGTGGGAGCCAGAAAGAGTTCCCTCACATGATCTAAGCTTTGGAATTTCTTTGTTTCTTGCCTCTCAGAAAGAAGAATAACAAGTATTATACTGTCCACAAACTCACTGACCATTCAGTCTCCACTTTAATATACACAAGCACAGTGTGTGTGTGTGTGTGTGTGTGTTTGAAAGAAAGAGAGAGGGAGAGAGGGAGAGAAAGAGAGAGAGGAGGACACTGTGTGGGTATTTATGGTTAATATTGATCACCTGGCTAATGTGTATTATTATAAGAAAAATCAGTAAAGTAGAATTGGGTTAAATCTGAAAATTATTAAATACATTGGGCTTTAATACTTGATTCTTTTATTTTTTAACAATCTTTTTTTAATGTGCTAATCATATCAAAAGGCAGTCTCTTTCCATGAAATGCCTCCTCTTTCCACACTTTCCCCACGGTATTCCCATATTCATCAAGGCAGTGTCTACATAACTGCTCTTTGGCCCCTGTGAGTCTTACTCTGAACAGAATGATTAGGAAACGACCATGGTAAATGTTACCCACGTTGGAGTCATTAGGGCTGAAAGAAGTCCTGAATATATCTAGGCTAATAACAACACAGGATTCTTTTTGTATGACTTAAGATCCTTCTATTGTAATCAAAGATGGGACATCAAAAAATGGTGGACTGAAGCAAAATGGAACACAAGAAAATGTAGAAAAAGACTCTTTACTGTATTCCATGCTGATACCCATATTTGTTTGCTGTGTCCCTGAAATCTAGTCCTCGGTCACCCTCTTCAAGTGCTAACTTCCAAGCAGCCACCTGAGCTCATGTTACTGTCTCTGGACTAGGTGATCTTTGTTCCATTCCTAACTCTAAACCTTTGTGGCCAAAGGAAGTTATTTATGCCTCTGAAAAAGAGGGAGCAAAATAACTGCTCTTTATCTTGTGTTCCACAAGTCTACTCAGGAAATTTATGAAAAATCTATTTCAGTGGCTGCTGAGCTATGAATGTTGAGCTCCTAATGGCTGCTAATGGGAGATCTTATTTCAGTCTTCCTGTTTTCCTTACCCCCAAGTGGTCAGCCAGCATTCAGGAGAGGGTGAGAAAGATGGGGGAGCTCGTGAATAATGTTGCTGGGTGAACCACTGGGGTTTGGGTTTGATAATGCAGCCTCGCTTGGAAATGCCTGAGTTGGAAGAATCTCTGAACCATAGCATAAAAAGGCCCCGAGAATCTTTCTAGTTAGAGACCAGTAGGTTTCTTTGACCTCCAAAACTTGTGAATCTTCCTGAAAACTACATTGTCCTAGGCTCCTTGATTGGTACTGCCGAGTCGCCTTCCTACCTTTCTCAAACACTTGGGGAAGATTACTCTTGGGGAAGTCTTCTGCTATAAATGCTAATGAGAGAGATTTCACAACCCATTCTAAAATTTGAATTGTTTTTTCTTCAGTCCTCCAAGAAAGTGAAAAGTAATTGGTTACGATTTTTCATACAGTAACTTCCAGAATTCTTGAAAATAGTTATTTAATTATTCTGCAAATTTGTTGCCTAGGATAAGTCATTTGATGCTTACAGTTCCTTAAAAGGGAAATATGCCATAACTATGTTCTAATAAAGCTTTTTCCATATCTATTTGTGATGTATTATGGACCAAATTAGCTCTGCTCACACAAATTTGTACGCAAATGAAATATATTAGGCCTATCACTCACCACCTGTGCTTAAGACTGTGTCTCCAGCAATTTCTATCCCAAATACTGGATACATAACAATTCACTTTGTCTTGATATGGAAGAGAGAATGACAAATCTCCAACCACGTTAAGTTCTCTATCGAGAATCAGAAGAATCCTTTGCTCCCTAGAGAAAGATAACTTGACAGCAGGGAATCAGATTTCTAGGGTTACATCTCCACTTTACCTTCTCATAATCATTTTGCTCAGCAGCAACTGTGGTTTCTCAGAACAACAGTGCAGAAGCTCAGTCTCTCAGGCCAATACCAGATGATGGCAAAGACCAAAATAATACAAAATTCTCAAGCAAAAGCAAACATTAAGGGCTTTTCAAATTTCCATCTCTGTTGCCTATTCCCACTCTTTCCACCCACATCTAATCTCTGTGATGCAATAAAGACCTGAGTATGTGGGCAGTAATGACTGCATAATTCTGTCTTTTTTTTAATCTATTGAGTGAAGGAAGCTGCAGAAAACTAGGAAAACCTATTGAAAACCTTCAGAACAAAAAGTTCCCAAACCTGAGTAAATTGCTACTAAGGCTTATCGTTGATGATGTTTCACTTTCTTTACGTGGTTCATTGCTTCCTGCTTCCATGGATGATTTCATCCCTCTTTATCTCCTCTTGTTTTGTTACAACTGCCCAGGCATTGGCATGGTTCATCTGGGACTCCATTAGACTCACGGCAAGCACAAAAACCAGGACTGAGGGAAGAAAATTAAGCCTACCTTGTTAACATTAATTCATTTCACATTCTTGCCTTGGCCTGACTTCACCATACTGTTGACAATTTATATTTTTCTTGTTAATTATTCAATCCTCAAAGGCTTAACATAAGCCCAGGTAGAAGAGGAATAAGGGAGGACATGAAAACACCATTATTGCCTCTTCTGAGGTACTTAGTTTTGGGCTGAAGCACAGTGCTTCTCCCCAACATGCACAGGCTGAGATGAATCCAAGTCAATCCCAAGGGCAGAATGGCTAGCAGAAGACAAGATGTGAACCTTGGATTTTCTTTGAGCAAGCTACTCCCTGAGTTTTCTGACTTTAAACCAGAACTCTTGTGTAGCAGCACTGCTCAACTCCAATCTGATGCAGTGCGAAGTAGTGCTGCCAGAGGTAGCCTCTAGACTTTTCTCTCTCTGTGGTTCAGTGCTTCCCCAACGACTTTTCACCACTTAAAGCACACATGTAAGACACAGCCAGAGTCCAGAACTTGCTGATTAAGTCACTCGTCCTCCCTCTAGAACCCAGAAGGTAATCTGGATTCAGGTAAACCAGGTAATCTGGATTCGGGTAAACCAATGGGCTCAGGAAGTCAAATATACTTGATGATTCCATCTATTTCATCAAGGGCTACCCTAAGGGCTGTCATTTTAGGGACATAGTGGGAACATCACTGTTCTTGTCCTTCAAATGGCTATTGGATTCTTTTGCTCAGGACTAGGGTTGCCAGTTGTAGCAAATAAAAATATAGGACACCCAGTTAAATTTGAATTTCATTTAAATAACGAGTCATTTTTTAGTAGAAGTAGGTCTCATACAACATCTGGTTTGATTTCACCATATTTGTTGGAATTTATATTTTTCTTGTTAGTTATCTAATACTCACTGACTTAAAATAAGCTCAGGGATAAAGGATGACCTGACAACATCGTTATCACGTCTGGTGAGGTGTTTCGTTTGGGGCTGAAGTGTAGCACTTCTTTAGTACAAGTATGTCTCATGCAATATTTGGGACATACTTATACTAAAAAAACGTATTTGTTGTTCAGCAGATATTCAGATTTAACTGAGTGCCTTGTATTTTATCTGACAACCCTACTGGGACCCTTGACATCTCTTCTGAAATGCAAGGGAGCAAAAGTTTGCCTCTGGACAGGCAGTTTTTCAGAGTAAGAGAGCCTCCAGCTGGAGCCTTCAAACCTCACAACTGGGCATTTTGGGACATATCGAATGGACATAGAGAAGAGAAATCCCACTAAGGCCCATTTAAATGAGGAGCCAAAGAGTATCCCGAGAAAAAACTCATTCTCAGGGATGAGAACCAAGGTACATGAGTTTGAGCCACTCTAAATAGAGAAGGGTGATTCAGAGCACAACAGACCTCTTGCCTTCAGATTGCCTTCCTTTCTACCTCCTAAGGGCCACGCCTAGAATGTCGTAGAAATGAGGGTGGTGGTGCAAAGACACAGGGAATAAAATAAGCAAACAAAATGATGCAGCATTGAAATCAGGGGCTTGTGCATCAGCACGGGTAGCACCATCCACATGAAGCGTGAGCAGCCTTGATGCTGATTTCTGGAGGCTCCTCACTGGTGCTGGCATAATGGCCAACATCACTAGTGGCGCTGCCTCTTTTGGGCACTGGCAGGAGCCAGCCATCATCACAGGAATCTGCGGCAGAACAGAAGGAAACTGGCAAAGGTGATGGGACAATGAGGAAAGCTGGTCTGAGGGGATATTAATAAAATCAACATTTATTAAACACCTAGTATGTGGCATGCAGTGGGCTAGCTGCAGCAAATACAACAATGAAAAGATACAGTCCCTAACATATGTTGCTCACAGCCTAGTGTGCGAAACCAAAAGTCCAGAGATCATCACAGATGGTGTGATTAGAGCTAAAATAGTTTGCTAGCATGTGGGAGGGGCCCTTAACTCCTCTCCGGTATGCCGGGTGTAGGTGCCCTGGAGACATGACTTGTAAATTGAGATCCAACGGACCAGTAAGAATAAGCCAGGAGGAGGAGTCCATATGAGATGTCCCTAGAGAATATCTCATCTGCTAGGGAGAAATCAGAGGGGGCTAGAGTTCCCATCTGAATGGCTGGGAGAGTTAGGTTAGTCCTGATTTGTGAGTGCTATCTTGACCTTTTTTTCCTGTTCGACTGCTGTGGTGACCCCTTACTTGCTAACGGCGCAGTCTGAGACTTAGGTTGAGTAAACACCCGGCTAAGTGTAAATGACATGGAGATGCAAGACCCTATAACCCTTAGTCTGAGTGCCATTTTATTGCAGGTTCTCAGGAGCACCTCACCAGGATGCTGACATTACATAGGCAAACAGTATATTTTGCCATATGGTTTGCACTTTGAAAGTCCTTTCATAATAAATAAAGTATTGCAAATGTCAAAGAATTAACTTATCCCTCTTTCCCATTGTCAGTTCTAGGAAGGGACTGCATATACAAAAACAACCTAAATGTAGCATTGATGAGGTTATGGCGCTCCTCTTGAAGTATCTCTCTGTCAGGTTGTGCAAAGCTGATGTCTTTTCCTTTGGTCAGAGTAGCCTCAAAATAATAGGTTTCAGAATAAGAAAACAACTGTTTTTTTGTTTAATCTTAATAATAGGGTATTTCAGGTTTGTCTAATGAAAACCAGAAGCTGATGATCTAACGCAATCAAATACTAGCTTTTGTGCAAAAAGAAATAGTAAAATAACGCAGGACCTTGTCTAAATAAGACTTGTAAATGATGCCAGCTAAATGGGAAAAAATAGCAATAACCTTTTAAAACATTAATTTAGACTTTTATTGGAATACAAAGGATCTCTAGTGTCTGAAAGCAGGCATTGTCTCTCTTTTTTATTTCAATAGAACTGTGGCTTGAATACAACACAGCAGGGTGTGTGTTTTCTAAAGTTGGGTCATTATCAGAGTGTTCACTGCCGTTTGCCAATAAGCCTTTATTTGGCAAAGTTTAAAACTGCTGACAAATGGGATTCCTCCTGTAGCTGTATAACATGGGACAGCTAAATATGCCTAATTACAAAACCCCTCCAAGGGCAGTGGGGAAGTCCACAGTTTCGAGGAGATTCACATGGACAGTCCTCGAAGAGGAGGAGGAAAACCTCTGAGCCCTTGGTCATCTCGCTGCTACTCCTATTCTGATGGATGCTAAGTTGCAGAGACCTATGAGATTATTCAAAACAATGTTTAATTTTATCCAAAGCTGAAGGGTTTCCCATTTAGGCTCTGGAGGCATTTAAGAGACAGTTTTTACTTCTGCACACTTTGGTCCGTGGGTTTCTGTGGGTGTCTGTAACTTTCCTTCCTTGTTCTAATGAGTCCCTGTTCAGAGACAAATAAACTGGAAGACTATTATCCAAAACTCCAAACATTAATTCCTTGCATCTATTTTGTGCTTTTAGACTCTGTGAATGATAATGGACAATCACTTTAGAATTGGGAAGGGGGACTAACGTCAAACCATTTCATCACAATCTCCACCTCCAGGAGCCCCTCTGAAAGGACAGAAACCTCACTTGAACTGGCTTTCATGGGAAAATCTGTGCTGCAAACCTTGCTCTCTAATTATAGCCAGGGGAACATGAGGTTTGTTTGGAATCAGATGTAGCTTTCCACTACCATAATTACACATTTTATTTCAAACACCTAACTGCAGTGTTTGAAGATGTTAGCACAATTATACCAAATATCATCCTAGAGTTCTTGCTGGGAGAGAATGAAGGAACAAGACAGCCATAGAAATGATGGGCTTATGAGGGTCTAAGAATTTCACGGCAGGAAGTATGATGTAAGGAAATGAGCAGTGGGCTTTCCATCCATTCTCAATTCTGCTGCCTAACTGATAAAGCCTTTTACTCACCAGGTAAAGCAGTTAGCAACTGAAAGCACATCGCTAGGTGGATGCTGAGTAAGATTAATTAGGGTCTCGATGGATTTAAAACAGAGATGTACCTCTAGAGAAGAATTCTCATAATATGGTCAAGAGAAAAAAGAGAATCAGTGTCTATATTGCAGTGCTGGCTGGCACGCTTAGTCATGGGCAAGTCTTCTAGGAAGCCCAGAATGAGGGATACGTGAGGAGAGAGGTGGGGAAGGTAGGCTGGGACCAGTAAAGTAAGTGGCGGCAGTGGGTTCTGTTCAACAATATGTGGAGGAATGAATCAGCTCAGTTCCACAGAATTAGGGCCCTAAAATCACTAAATAATTCCCCAAATATTTGTGCTGCAACTCCCATGCAACTGACCTTGTAAGAGAGGGAGCACAGGGCTTGCTATCCGAAAACTCTGTCTATTTTTGTTTTGGAATTATAGGAAGTGGAGTAAATAGAGAATGACAGAAATAGTAACAAATCAGAACATTTACTATCCTATCTGGATCATCTGACAGGATATCTGATGAGGTAGGTTTCATCACTGGAAGTTTTGGAAAAGAGGCCAGACATATCCCCAGTACTACTCTAGAGCATTCACACACATTTCATTTCATTCCTCCTCAAGCCCTGTGGAATAAATATTATTTTCCCCATTTTTGATTCCAGAAAATGACTGAGGAAAAGTCAGTGTAATTCAGAGTGAAGGCTGCCCCAGCAAACTTCCAGAGTGTTGCATTCTTTTAATTCCTTTGTTTTCTCAGTGCTATGGAATCTCTGTGATCCATTAATAATATTAATAATAATCCCTTACATTTGTATGGCATGTAATATGAAAGGTTCTCAAGGAATTTTCGATGTATTACATCACTGGATTCTCAAAAAAAAAAAAAAAAACCACCCCATTTTGTGAGATGGGCAAAACAGGAATTATTATCTTCATTTTAAAGATGGTAACACTGGGGGCCAGCCTGGTGGCTTAGTGGTTAGGTTTGCTTGCTCCGCTTTGGCACCCTGGGGTTCACTGGCTCAGATCTCAGGTGCAGACCTACACACCACTCATCAAGCCATGCTGTGGCAGCGTCCTACATACAAAAAATGGAGGAAGACTGGCACAGATGTTAGCTCAGGGACAATCTTCCTCAAACAAAAAGAGGAAGATTGGCAACAGATGTTAGCTCAAGGCCAATCTTCCTCACCAAAAAAAAAAAAAAAAGGGAGGTGGGGGAAGGGGAACAATAACAGCAACGAAAAACGGTTAAACTGAGTCTGAGAGAGAGGACATACTTTATTCAGGGCCAGGACCCAAATGCAGCTTCTGTCAGTACTAAGCCCTGCTTCCTGTTTTCCCCTTGGAAACCTTGACGGAGACGGGGAACAGCCAAACAGCTACCATCTCATTGCTAAACCCTGCACCAACTTGTGGACAACAGTCTCATTAAACGCTCAAGATCTTTGGATGGAGACCAAGAACTTCCTATCTCTGCAAAAAATCTCTACAGAAACATTTTTCTCTCTTTACTCCTCCTCCTCATTTAAATGCTAAAGTATTGACAGTGATAGGCCAGATGTCATCATGCTGCCTTGTGAGTTTTCAGGGGAAAGATGAGAAGCACATGAGAAAGCTGGGAATTTTCAACTGCCTGGCACAGCGGGAGGAATGCTTGTCTAGGAGTCAAGAGATGTGGGTTCTGGAGATGTGGGTTCGGGTCCCGTCTCCTCCATTTATTAGCTGTGTGACCTGTCACTTGTCACAGTAAACCTGCTAAGACTTAGTTTCCTAGTCTATAAAAGGGACTGTCCTGCTAAAATGATGTGTAAGGGCTTTTAAAAATTGTAGACACATCTAAATGTGAAGGATTGCAATCAGAGCAGTTTGTCACACATAAACATGGTGACATGCAGTATGATCACATGAAATATGGATGCTTTTCAATCTACTGCCATAACCCCAAGGTGAAGGAAAAGGTGTGCACGTTCAAATCGGTGTGTCAGGGTGCTGTCTTACATAGGAGCACCACCAGGATATAACTTTTAAGTTGTTGGAAGCTTCGCAACTTGAAGGAAGCCAGACAGGTTTCTTACAGGGGATTTCATGTCTTGGGATCCTCGGACAGGCTATGGGATCTGGTAGCTTTGTTGACAGAAAATGGGAAACTGTACTCCAGGCCAGTGTGGCTGTATTTACTTACTATTGCCTCATCGGTAAAATCACTTTGCAGAATTGGATACAATATTGCTATTAGCAGCAAATCTGGGAGGCAGAATATGGGGCCAAACTGTGGAATTTGGAGTCAGACAGACCCAGGTCCAAATCCAAGTTGTTATCACCTGCCAGCTATGTGATTCTGTCACCGAACCTTTCTGACCCTCAGTGTTGTCACCTATGTGATGGGCACAGCACCACATGATAGTGCTGCTTTGAGGATTAGATGAGACACGTGTAAAGGACCTTGAACGAGTGCCTGACGTGAGGAAGGTTCTCAGGAAACGGCAGCATCTGAATTTGACACACACCTCGTCATACCACAGGACCTCCTCACACACTGCAGTGATGCAGGATAGTGTCTTCCAAAGTTGAAGATTCCTCACCCGTCACCAGTTGTTCATTTGGCTTCATAAGAAAGAAGGGGGTTCCGTGTTTGAAATGCTTTTAGTTACTTATTTTTTCCTGAGAGTCTTCATGGGTTAAAAGATACAGTTGGCAGCTGTTTTTAATGTAGAAGCTCTAAGAAAAATGGGGCCAGACTACCCTATTTTGGCAAACTCTTTGCTCAAAACAAAAGGTCATGTCCTAGTGGCGTAGTGGTTAAGTTGGCATGTTCCGCTTCAGCGGCCCGGGGTTCGTGGGTTCCTATCCTGGGCAGGGACCTACACCCCACTCATCAGGCCACGTGGTGGGGGTGTCCCACGTACAAAATAGAGGAAGACTGGCACAGATGTTAGCTCAGGGACAATCTTTCTCACACGCACATACAAAAAAGGTCGTGTGGTATCATGGGGGTCATGAGACTTGAGTTCAAACACTGAGTTACTTTCGGGTAAGGATCATGTCCTAGCCATTCTTTATTTATTCAAAAGCCACTTATAGAACACACATCTATCAGTTAGTTCAAACTCCCTCATTGTCGGTGCAACATAAAAAAAGAAAATTAAAAAAGAAATTTTAAAAAATTTAAGAATGTAATAGTTAGTAAACAATTGCCTTCATGATGGAACAAAGGATAATATAGATGCTATATAGCTAAATTTTTGTCAATACTTTCTCTGCTGTAAAATGAGTAATGGGTATATAATCTCCCAGGTACTCTCAAATCCTGGATTTTTAGTTTATCTATTTACACAGTTTAGGAAACAGGCTGGGTCCTCACAGGGCTGTAACATAGAAGCAGAAACGTTTATGGCATAACCCTTATTTTCACACTTCCTGCAGTTACCATTTTTTAATTCTTTATCCTTGAATTCATAATAGCTTTAGGAAATGACTCATGAATGCATTAAACCCTCCCTTAATCAGATCTGTGAAAATTGTATTGTTAGTTTCTTCTTTTCTTTCTTTTTCTTTTTCTTTTTTTTTTTTTTTTACCACAGATCCAATTTATTGCTCTATAGCTCAAGTCAGAATCTGTTGGATTCAACTCTTCCATGAGCAAAGGTTGTGTGTTTTAGGTAGAAAAAGTTTCTTTATCCTTTGAGTGAAGAAACAAAGCCAGTTTAACTAAAACTTTCCTTTTTTCTTTCTCTCCTTTGATTTCTGGCTGGGATTATCTTTGAGCAAGTTTTGCACCAAAGAAAACTGTGTGACTGAGTTACAAGGAAGAGAAAATCAACTTAGAGATGATGTAGGTTTTTTGCATCCATGTGATGTCCAAATCTACCACATACACATTTTGGGGGTATTGTTAGGAAGAAAACATGCATTTGGGGTATGCCTATTTTGTGTCTTGAAAGGGGGATTGTTTTTGCTACAGGACCCAGAAAAGAAAGGTCTGATGCATGCTAGTCACATCACCTGCCACTCTGGAAGAAGAGTGAGGGGCTTTAAGCATAATGAAAATGAGGAGTAAAACGCCGGGTGTTTATCTCCTGAGTTCCAGATAGAAATATATCTCAGCCCAATGTGCGGCATCTCCTTTAACCAGACTGCCTGCATTCATCTCTCCTGCATCCACATGACGAGCACACCTCATCCGTCACGTCGAGACATGTTAAAAAGAACCTTCTTCTCCTGTTCCTTTCTACTCTGAATAAGTAATTATGAAAAACAAATCATCGCCATGTCTCTTTCTTTCTTCAGTTTTATTGGGTTTTGTCTGCCTGTCTGCCATGGACATAAAGAATTGTTCTGTTCATTCAGATCCAATGATTTTCTTTGGGGGGTTGTTTCAGATAAAACAGAAGGTCTGATTTTGTCAGGAATGTAGCTCTGAAAGTCTCTAAGAGCAACTATGCATATGAATTTGAGGGCAAAATGTCACCCTCTAAGTGAATTGAATGGAGAAAACACAATAGAAGTCTGTTAAAATGCTGCTTTGGGCAACAAGGAAAAAAAAGAGCCTGGATGTGATCATTCTTTCTGAAGGCCTTGTAGGTGTCAACCTATACTATGACTTAAGGGGTGCCCGCCAGCCTGCATTTGGATCTTTCTTTCTGTTCAATGCACTGCTCTGGATGAAATGTTGGGGGTCATATTAAAGGGAAAAATGGCCTTCTATCCTGAAAAGTTTTACAATTCTTAAATGCATACAGGCTACCTGATAGAAGGCAGAACACAGTAATGTGTGTGTGTGTGTGTGTGTGTCTGTGTGTGTGTGAGGTGATTAGATGATCTCATCAAGCAGTTTGAAAAGCAAAGGGCAGAGGAGTTGGGACCAAGCTTTAAGTTCATCTACATTTTGATGACTGGGAAGCTAGAAGGGCATAAAACAGGTCTGTAGGGCGTGGATGTGAAGTCAGTTTTTGAATCCTGACTTAACACATAGGCCTGATGCTTAGGCCTGGGCATCTCAAACCTCCTCACTTTAGGATCTCCCTTTTGCAAGCTCCTAATGTCCTCCATGACTAACACTGCCCTTACACTGTGACATGCAACCCAATGATATGCCTCATAGTGGGTTTCACAGAAGGAAGGTCTTCAAAGTGACGGTTGTCTTCAGTCTACCTCTGTCTCTGTCTCTGTCTCACTCTCTTTGTGTCTCTATATCTCTGTTGACTCTCCCCCTTTGTCTCTCCCTGTGTCTGCCCATCTCTCTGTCCCTCTCTCTGCCTTTATTTGATCCTCTACCATGTTCTAAATGCTCACCTCTATGCATATGACTCCCAGGTAAGTGTAGCCGGTCCTGAATTTTCTCTAAGTTGTATTCCAAAATTTCTAACTACTTGTTGGACATCTTCACCTGGATATTCTGCACCTCAGAATTACCATGTACCAAACCAAATTAAATTCCATGTCTAAACAACTTCCTTTTTCACCAACTATCACACAAGCAAGAGCCACTGCCACCATGGTGAATAAATCTTTGCTCTTCCTCATGACTCATCCATTCATTCATCAAACATTGATTGAGTCTCTACTCTGTTGGGATGCTGGGGTCACAAAGCTGAAAAAGATAATTTCTGCTCTCAGGAAACACAGAGTCCATAATGGGTATGTAATCTGACTACATAGTGCTTTGATACGAAACCTATAAGATATCATGGGAGCATAAAGGAAGGACACCTAGTCCAGCCTGGGGGAATGGGGTAGTTGAGGGCACCAGGAAGATTTCCAGGAAGAGGAAACACCTGACTCGAGTCCTGTGCGTTCTGTAGGAGTTAGCCCGGTGAGAGGATGGAGGGAGACAGTAGTAGTTCTTTCAGAATCAGCAACTTGACACAAGCCCAGACAGATAGCCTGGCAACTCTGAGGAACCGTAAATAGTTCAGGATGACTGAAGCACAAAGTGTTAGGGAAGG